GTAAGTGATCCTACATCATATTACCTCTACGCCAATCTCACATAAAACCTTATTACCACCGTTAGGAAATATCAATATTATAAGGCATAAATTTCCCGGACTTCCGCCATTTGGCTTTCAGCAATGCTTGAACTGGAACTTGCTGTCGAATTAAGGGAAATGTTTACGGTCTATACGAGATCTTCCTAACGAAAGTTATTTTATTTTATTTTTTAAATTGCGTGATTCATTTTGAAAATTTTGTCAATTTCGTCATTTGTATGAAAGATCATAACTTTGTAGAACGTAGAAATTGTATATCTAACTATTCTTGTCACGTAAGCTCATATAATTTGGGACTATAAATGTTTTTTGAATTTTATTGTTTGAGACAAATTTTCACATTTTATCGACAGATAAATAGTCTCAGAATCCGTATATGTAAAAACCTTTATCGACAATCATTGTGGTTTGAATAGTTTTTCAAATTTCTCTATTGTATTTTTAAACAAATTTGTAACTAAATAAATTTATATAACGAACTCAATGGTGTTGTTGAAGAATTATAACAACTATAAAATTCAAATTGAATTTTCAAGAGTTAATATTACAATTCCATTCCAATAAAATACGACTTCTCAGCAGGAGCGCCGCGCTTGTTTCCTACGTGTCGGAAATAATAACTTATGAAGTTTCATAACTTTGTAACCGTACAGGAAAATTGACGAAACAACTAGAGCGTAATACAGTTTGCAGAAAATTTTGTTATGCCATCAAGTAAACAAAGTACGAGTGTGGATAGAGACCGAACCCGTCCGATAACAAACTGTAGCGAAGCGGACGCAATTATGATTAGCAATGGTTGAAATTATCCACCCGGAGTCCATATAAGCAACAGCAACACACACAAGATAACTGCAAAATTCTTGTTAATAAATGAACCGTATTAAACCGTATTAACCAAACTGGTAAAAAGTATTTCAGAATAATTTTTATAACAGAATTTCTCTATTCCTGTCTTGTTGCAAGTTTATTGTAGCTTTTATAACTGCACCAATTACTTTTAATATTACTTAATATTTACAATATTTTACAATGCTTGATTACACTGGTACTACATCAACCAGCACCAATCATGAAATCAATGAAACGTGAGTTCAGGAGTAAAAGTGTAAAAAGTGGGACAATTGGTAAATCGTAGTGAAACAACAGATTTATTTACTAGTAGCTTCAAGGAGGAGCATTACAGAAGTTTTTGGGAACTAGGAAGAGTTTATTCATGACGGTTTTATTTCCGATGAGTGCTCTATTAATTCTAAAAATCTTAGCACAGCGTAGCCCAGTTTTGGTTAGTCGTTAATAGTTAAGATCTTTTAATGATAAGCATGATAATGCGCGTCCATCTGCTTCCCCTAGGGGCAAAAAAATTTACCCTTTTGGTTCAAAAACCTGCCACTCTCATCGTACAGTGCGGTTTCGGATTTGTTATTTCGATCCATGGCGAATAATTTTTTTTTTAATATGGAAATTTGGGTGCAAAAATTACTCAGGTTAAACACATTTCTCTCGTCCGATAACTTCAAAATAGCTTTCAAAAATTATAATACAATCCAAACAATTTTTTCCAAAATTAAAGATCCTACACCAATAACAAATAAATCTGACGTAATCTACAACATCAACTGTTTAAACTGTCCGGCAACTTACATCGGTCTTACATCCCAATATCTGGACAAGAGAGTAATGCAACATATCTATGATTCCAAAAAACCCAAGCAAAATTCTACAGCACTCGCTACCCACCATTTTGAACACCAACACAATTTCGACTTCAAAATCCAAAAATATTACATACGGAACAAAACAAACATAAACGTAATTACTTAGAAATGGTTTATATCATTATAACAGAGATAAACACAGCATCAATTACAGAAAACATACATTTAATCTCAGTCGCAGCTACGCCAATATCATTAATCAAATTCAATATAGATATCATACATATATCATTACATTACATTCCACACATCAAATATTTTTAATAGTCTAATTGTCAAACAATTTAGCTTTCCTTTTCCTATTTATCCCTTTCTATATAATCCTGAAAGGATAATCTGGCCGAACCATTACCACATTGTTTCCGTTCGTCGGCTCTTTTCACCTCAAAGAAGCCGACGCCTTATACAAAAATATCTTTTTTCTATACCGACTTCCTTCCCCACTCCTTCAAAATCCAACGTATATAAACATAAAACAGCAAAATCTCACTGGCACTCTCACGACGCAAGAATGGCACAATTACACAGAAGACAAACACTTTGAGTGAGTAGAAATACTTTGATTGAACATAAAAAATATATTTTGCATTGTATAAATTCACTTTTCCACATCCTAAATGTATTTGTTAAATGTAAACAATGTTTGTAAATCCCAGGCCCTGAAGATGATCTCAATAAAGATTGAAACGTTGGCACGATAAAGAAAATGTTTTTCTGAAACATACATCACACCAGACCACATCTCACGATTTCTAATTATCGATTAACGGTCACTAATCACCACACATTATACTCAGGTGTGATACAATCAGCAAATCTTGCAAACGCTTGAAGACACCAGTGACAGTGGATAACTGTGGACTTTGTCTTGGATAATGATTTCATTGTCCGACCCCTATTTGCCACGCTAACGGTTTGAATCCCACGGCTTTTTAACTGAGAATAGTATGAAAAATGTATATAAAATTGGGCGGCTTCTTTCGCGACAACCACGGGTAGTCGGACGTTAAGCCATTCTATATAACAGGAATTACTTAACTTAATTTTTTATTAAAGACAGACCCACCACATGAAAACGTCTGTTGCAGCAGGTTCTGGTGTACAAGAAATGGTTAAAAGTTTAAACTTATTTACCTCTTTTTTACTGTCGTTTATAGAAAAAGTGTCTTTTGTGTTGGAACAGTAACACAAAACAATGTCAAATGCAATCTTACACTGTATTTTCCCTGAACATTGGAAAACACTACTGAATTTACTCCGATTGCAGTTGTAATAGGATCCGTACGAGAAAAAACAGGGAACATCTATTCAAATACAATTCATTGCATAGTTGAATATCTCGGGTGTAGAAGAGAACTGGTAACATAGGAGCACGAGATGTGAACAGGCCATTTCTAAACATACCCGACGGCCTGGGAGCCACATATTTAATGTATACTGTTCGAGGAGCACAATGGCTGACGATGGGTTTAATCTAGGAGGACACTGAAGGGTTTCGTCCGCCTCCCAGATCTAATCTACGCCGCCAATGAAGACACTCGCATTTGAATAGTAGCTAGAAGATATTTCTCATCTCGGGTCTCGTTGGATTAAATATCCTGACAAAGTCTGATTACTTAAACTTTCTGCTGATTAACTCTGAATAGTTTGTTGAATTTTTGACTTGGAATTTTACTGTTTAGAAGAGTAATACAAATATATTCAGATATATTAATTAAATATATTTAGTTCATTTTTTATGTTTGCATAACAATAGAAATAGCTTTGTATATAAATCACTACATTTATTTTCTAAATATTAATTAACATAAAGCCAAATTTGTCCAGTCCGAATAAACTCAATAATTGTTAAGTTAAATTTGTTTAATAAATAAACTTAGATCAACTACAGTAAAAAACACTTTTTTATTTAAAATACATATCAAATGTAATTTTTTTATATTCGCTTGGAACCCTAGATGCTGTATTGTTAAATTGGCCTATGTTAATATTTAACAATTGTTTAAAAAATGAAACAAAGTTTTCAGGAGTTTATATTGAAAAATGGTCGTTTTCCTTTTCAACTTGCCCCAACATAAGCTCAAAAACTTTTACTCTGTACAATTTGATAAAATGCTAAGTAAACCGAGTTGTTTTACTTCGTCCCGTTACAGTCCCGTTTAACTTTTTTCCTGCATATCATCTAAACTAATTTCAAAGCAAAGTTTATTGATTACAAGTAAATAGGATTTTTCTGTGCAAATTTTGAGCAAATGTTAGCATATCCAGTAAAACTAAAAAAGCATAGCTTTGAATTAAAATAGCTTTGAAATTATCAGGTATCATATTTTTCCTGTCATTGCGTAAACTTTTAGATATTGATTTACATTTTGACACTATATCAACTACAATTATTTCTTATTTTATTCTAATAATTGCTAACGTAATAAGAAATATATAATAGATAATACAGACAGTTGATTAACTTGAATTACTATGGAATAGTTATAAAACCAATTGAAAAGGAATAGAATTTCCTTTGGCCAGAACATGCAATAAAGTTGTTTTACTATGCAAAATTGCGTAAAATAAATACGGTACCATGAAATATAGAATTTTCCTTTTGATCGGACTTGAAATAAAATGTTTTTACTATGTTAGGTTTGAAGATATGCTAAGAAAACCAAATTCGTTGGATATGGTGATAACTCTGAGTTGTTTTTTTATTATTTATATTTGTATATTTTATGTTTTAATTATATCAAGTTAAATCGATATTATTATTTCAAACTCGCACAAAAACTAGTATAATTGTTAATAAGACATTTCACAAAATGTTGTCCTTTATAAACTAATTGAGTTTTCCACTTATTGAACTTACGTGATTGTAAATATGTTTCAATTAATTAAAATTTTTAGTTGAGCTAAAAAAGTCAGCGTCACGAGCGGGATTCGAACCCACTATCTTCGTCTAGATACGCCGCTCCTGTATGATTTGAGCTATCGTGACCTCGATCCATTGGACATTAACTTCCCATCTCAACCCCACCTTTTGACTTTTCCATCCTTTTTTGCCATTTTTAGATAGCTCAAGTGTTAGAGCAACGGCGTATCTAGCTGAAGATCGTGGGTTCGAATCCCGCTTGTGACGCTGACTTTTTATCTCAACTAAAAACCTTAATTAATTGAAAGATATTAATTGGTCAAGCGGACCACGAAAACTAGTGAATTTAATTATAAATATGGTTGTTTAGGTTTTTT